GTCTCCATCTAAATGCGGTCCTCTGCGACCCTCTTGCCAACAGTCAAGTATCATAACAGTTGGACCGAAGCTAATGCGAAGCTCGTTCATAGATTGATTGATTTGTGGGTTTTAACGTCCCAAAACCACCATATGATTATGAGAGACTCCGTAGTGGAGGGCTCCGGAAATTTAGACCACCTGGGTTTCTTTAACGTGCACCCAAATATGAGTACACGGGCCTACAACATTTCCGCCTCCATCGGAAATGCAGCCGTCGCAGCCGGGATTTGATCCTGTGACCTGCGGGTCAGCAGCCGAGTACCTTAGCCACTAGACCACCGTGGCGGGGCTCGAAGCTCGTTGAAGCCACCGGCTGTAGTAGTGGCAGCAATGTGCCCTTTCAGGGTGGACCACGGCACGCGTTCTTTCATGACCACGTTTTTGCTGACGTTGTACGGACCGTTTGATCTGTCGGGCCGCTCGTGAAGCATGGCATCATTTACAATTCCTACGCAGCTCTTATCGTCGAAAAACATTCATTCACGTTTTCCGCCAGGTGTGAGTCGATAGATCCTCCTGCCTTCCTACATTCTATTTTTTTATCTTATCGATTGTACAGCTCCTCGAAATGAAGTGCAACGAACTAGCTAAGCTCCCCTTCATTGCGCTGTTCACCGTTTCGTGTTGATCGTGCCGCTGATTGCGAAAGCGATTGAAGTGCCGGCATCTTCCTGCAGTGAGTCGAGGAGCACTCGAGCTTGACGCATGATTTATCTGTACGTATCTGTCACCACGTTCGCGCTGTGCTTGATCCTCAGGGAGATAAAACTACTCCGAAAATTAAAACAGTGAAGTCATTCAAGCTAGCCGGAAATACTTTGGTGCGTACTACAAAGGGATGGTTATGTGCCAGAGAAATGGGGTGGATTGAACTGCTTACCGTTACTCCACTAAAAACGATGGTAGCAATAGGAGAGCGGCAAACACCAACTATGACTTCTAGGTACGCACAATTTGCAATTGAAAAAAAAAAACTTATTAAACCGTCGGGATTAACCCAGTGATGCACACCGTGGCCGCATGTTTGAGCTTTGCTGAGGCTACATGTACAGTTCTTCAGGAGTACGTACGAGGTAATTTATGGAAACGGGAAAGCCGGCTGTTACAAGACCCCGAAGCGACGGCAATCTTACGCCAACTACGACGTGCTCGTCCATCTATGGGAGTCGCGAACGCGCGCCAGTTCCCTTCTCAGGACTGTGAACATCCGAGTCGTGTCTGTGACTTTCTGCGTTCTAGCTGGAGCCTCTCTTAGCTGAGAAGCAACTTAGAACCTACGGCATCACCCAGCGAAAGCCTAGCATTGATTGATTGATTGATTGATTGATTGATTGATATGTGGGGTTTAACGTCCCAAAACCACTATATGATTATGAGAGACGCCGTAGTGGAGGTCTCCAGAAATTTAGACCACCTGGGGTTCTTTAACGTGCACCCAAGTCTGAGCACACGGGCCTACAACATTTCCGCCTCCATCGGAAATGCAGCCGCCGCAGCCGCGAAAGCCTAGCAACAATCTACAAACAACCAAATTAGACTTCCAGATAGTCCAGCGTCACTTTTTCAAGCCTCACGAGATTTAGTAGATGCTCCGTTATTTTAACTCGGCGTTTTTTTCTTTGAACTTCGCAAGAAAGATATGATGGAAACGGGAACACAAGCGCACATGCTACATTTTTTAACCTCGTATTCGTGGTACAAGCATACTCGCCAATAATGTAAAAAAGAACAAAGCACTGGGCTGCTGAGCTAGCATCGAAACCACGCCGCCATGGTATGCAATGAGCCGTGCACTTTTCCACCAAACGGCATTGATGAGATTCCATTTAGCATGATCTCATCACGCTGAGGCACAATTCTATCAACGTGAAAAGAGCCGTTTAGATCTGTCAGGTGTTTCTGTTTGCCATAAATTAAGAAGCAAGGACGACCAGTACGATATGCTCTAAACAGAAAGCATAGGTTGTTGATTGATATGTGGGATAGGTAGAGATGTGGTGTTTAAAGTGCCAAAACCACCATCTGATTACGACAGAGGCCGAAGTGGAGGGCTCCGGAAATTTCGACCACCTGCACCCAAATCTGAGCACACGGGTCTACAGCATTTTCGCCTCTATCGAAAACGCAGTCGTCGCAGCCATGATTCGATCCTGTGACTGGCGGGTCAGCAGCCGCGTACCTTAGCCACTAGACCACCGCGGCGGGGCCAAGCATAGGTTGTAGACCAAGGAACTAAATATAAACAATATTTGATGGTCAATTAAGCCCCAAATCCACGATATGGTTATGCGAAATACTGCAGCGAAAGGCTTCGAAAGATTCTACCACCTGGTGTTCTTTACACTGTGCGTTTAAACTAAGTACACAGACCTCTACTCTATCGAGATGAAGCCGTCGTGGCAGGGATTCGATCCCCCGATCTTGTGGTCCGCAGCTAAGCATCTTATTTACTGGAGCACTTCAACTGCAAGGCCATTCAGAAGTATTGCTGCTTTGTAGCAGCCAATGCGTGTAAGATTAGTGCCGAGCAGTACAATGTGTCAATGCGACTGGTAATTAAACAAATATAAACACCAAAATATGACCTTGTGGTTAGGCTTTCATAGGCTGATGTTCATACATATACTCTGTGACTGACACAGTATGAGGCGCAGCAATTATTAGCGTAAAATAAGGACATTGCTGCGCTCAACACATTTTGTCTGTTTCCTTTGGTGTCAATAGTTGTTGTTAGTCTATCCCGTACAGCTTACTCAGTTGTTACTCTATCTCCTGGTTACAGCTTAGCTTGTGTTATTCGATTCGGCTTAGACACGAAACTTGTGTAACTAACTTTCACTCCACATTCACGAGAGCTAACGGACAGTGATGTCGGTAAAAGTACGTGGGATGTTAATAGCGGTAATCGTAATGTGAATGTGAACAAGGAAAATGGACAAAAAGGTCGCAAGTTCGGTCTCAGACAGTGGCAAGTTATCTTTCACCCACTTTTTTTTCATTCACATTTACATTACTAATATTACTAAAACATATCCTATATTTGTCTCTCATTCATTGTTTGTTTGTTATTTGTCTATATCTTTGTCTGTTACCTCCAAAAAATATTGTGCATAACACATAAAAAAGAAACCTTTAACAAACCAGTTCTTTCGTTAACTTCCACTCATTTCTTTAGGAGCGAAGCTCCTTAAGGCGTGGGCTGTGCGTCCCCTGTATGTAGCCACCTCTCGTTCAGTTCTAAGTATTACGCTAGCCACCGCCCGATCTAAAGGGTACAGCCATATCCATCCGTCCATCCGTCCGTCCGTCCGTCCATCCATCCATCCGTCCGTCCGTCCGTCCGTCCGTCCGTCTGTCCATCCATCCATCCATCCGTCCATCCGTCCGTCCGTCCGTCCGTCCGTCTGTCCATGCACTGTGTGTGAGTTCACCCTAAAGAAGACCAGATGCTCGAAATTAACGGGGCCCTCCACTACGGCGACTCCCATATTCACATCGAGATTTCGCGACGTAAAACCCCACATATTATTTATTTATTTATTTATTTATTTATTATTTATTTATTTATTTATTTATTTACAAATACTGCTGTCCCATGCCTGGGACATTGCAGGAGCGGGTACAGAAAATCAACGAAAGCACAGAAACAAACAATAGTGCGCACAAATTTATGTGACTAACACATAAAATTTTTCCCGAACTCTACGGTGTTCAGTCTACGCAATGCACCATCAAGCTTGTTCCAAACTTATTAATAATATCAACTCAATTTAATCCTGATTTTGTCCGAAGCAGTTTTTCCTTTTCGGTTCAGCGTACGGTTTCGGCCCGCCCATGTGACGGCGCATATTCAGTTCTCTTTGTGATCAGTTCTCTTTGTGCACTCATTACCTCATGCGCACGTAGTTTATTTATTTATTTATTCATTTATTTATTTATTTATTTGTTTTTTGTTTATTTATTTATTTCGTAATACTCTCCGGGCCAAAGGCATTATAGAGAGGTGTGAAACACGATTTTTTACTCATACAATGTTAGCTAATAATAAAAATATACAAAATAAAAAGAACAAAATATAAGCATTGTGTACAAACAGAACAAGTAAGTAAGTGTGGGCGTTTATACAATGCTAGTTAGCGCCGAACGAAACAAGTGATGATCGGTCAAGATGGCCACAGATCCGGGAAGGTGGTTCCAGTCTACTGATGTTCTGGGAATAAATGTATCGCTGCATGTTTTGGTTAGACAAGACGTAACACCAAGTTTATTAGGATGTTCGATTCTAGATGATACGTGAGAAGGCTAAAAAATAAATACCTCGTGAAGAGTTGGAATATGATAATTTTTGTGAAATAGACAGAGGCGGAATAGCACACGACGAGAGGCAAGAGACGGCAGTTCAAGTGAATTTTTCATGGCAAAATGCTATAACGTGACGACTGTAGTTTTTTTTTGTAAATAAACTGTTCAGTTCCGAAAGTAACCGATGGCATTGTCGTGAGCTGTCACTTGCTTTGTCGCCCTTGTGTAATACAGAACGTTATCATACGGTTAACGTTTAGTCGGCTTTGACCCACAAAAAAAAAAAGAAAGAACGCCATGCAGTTCTCGCAACTCATAAGGGCGCCACTGTGGCACCACAAACTGAGGGCAGGTGAAGGCCATTCTCGTGCATGCCCTTGCCGGTCACACACTTAACCTTTACACGCTTGACAGATTAGCTAAAAATAGGGCCGGATAAGATGTAGCCTATCCAAACAACGGAATGGATTGCCCCCACTGACATTCACTTATTTTATTTTTTTTCCATAGAGCTCTCGGAACTGAAGCACGCTAAATAGGCCCTCCTCCAGACAGTGTCGATGACTGCGAACAAAAACTTCGTGCGCGAAGTGCTGTCATACAAATGATATGTATATCAAGTTTCGTACACAGCGAAGACTACAGGGCAGACTTACCGTAGAAATCGATGGCGGTGGATCTGAAGGATGTGGTGTTTAAAGTCGTCGAGGCGAGCTCTCGGAATTTGTGGACACTGAGTCGCTTCGTCTGGCAGCATCCCGAGCTCGCACTGAAAGAAGTGCAGTGTCACGACAGGGCTCACGGAATTCTCGGAACTGCATGGCTTCGAGGTGACGCGTATAATTACCTGCTGGACACTGCGGTCAAGGCGGAAATCCACACTCCCGCCGGTGCAGATGGTAAGAGCGGAGGGGCTTTCCGTCGTCATTCAGCGCGTGTCGCACGACGAAGACCTTTGTCTTTTTTCTTTTGTCTTTGCTGTGATGCATGTGACTGTCATTACGCATCTTCCTCCCTTTACGTTTGCGACGAAGTGACGACCGCAGCACTGAAGCGTGGATGTAGCCGCAACAAAAAAGATGGGGAAACGCTCACCGATCATTAGCATTCCGTTCACTGTTGACCTGACCTGTTGCAAGCGCACGTTCATCCACCTACACTGGGATTACACCTGTTGTTTCTGTTGCCGAGTGCCATCAGACTGCGCCTTTCAACTTATAACTAAGTTCGTAGTCTACGTATTTGCGGGGCCCCGATATCGGTAATTGAGAGTTCGCGACCTGTTCACTCCGGCTATCGTCCCAAAACCACAATCTAATTATTATCATTTATTCAACCGCTAATGTCCTTATTCAGGGCATTACATAAAAAGGGGGCGGGGAGCAAACAGATATTATACGGACGTGCAACTATACAAATGCAGTTATTAAAGAATAACGGTGAAGCAAATATACATTGCGCAGCGTTGAACATAAACATAAAGTGAAGACCCCTTAATAGAGGGCTCCGAAAAATTTGACAACCTGGCGTTCTTTAGCGTTCCCTAATATCGCACAGTGCTTGTGTCTCGACCATTTCACCTCCATTAAAATGTGACCACCACGGCTGAAATCGAACCCGCAACCTTCGGGGGTCACCAGTCAAGCGCGATAACCACTGATTCACCGCGGCAGACACGCAAGAATTGATTGATTGATTTATTGATTGATTGATATGGGGTGTTTAACGTCCCAAAACCACCATAAGGACACGCCAGGAGTATCATGTGGAGCGGGGGAAGGAAAAGCTTAGATATTCATAGATTAAACATGTGAGACTAGCGAGACCAATACGAAGCATTTTGAAACACCTATGTGTATCGAATATTCTGTAACAAGGGTTTGCTGTTATGATAACAAAATTAGGCATTTGATATGCGATTTTCGGTGCTTAAATAGAAGGATACTGGCACGAGAAATTCTTTTTTTTTTTTCGTTCATAGCCTCAAGTGGAAGGCCAATCTCTCGGGAGCCTAGAAAATGTGTTCGTAAGCGTGATTGCGTCCTAAACAGTTCATTACAAGATGCTTTCAAAATAAGCTGTTCTTGGTTCGTATACAGAAATATGACGTCACAACACGGTATGAACTTCTCGTCACGTGCTCACGCCAAATATCGTGCCGTTTTCACGGCCGCTGCCCTCTCTGTGCTGCTCTGGTGTCGGCTTTCCGGTGATTTCAAGAATCCACACTAGATGGCGCGCCGCCGCTCAGGGTAGCTCACGCCAGTCTCGGCGCGTGCGCTTCCTTTCTCTTCGCCGGGTGTTGACGCGGTCTTCGTTACCGCTCGGCCGCTTACCCATCCAGCAGCGCTCCGGAGCCTGGTGGAGTTCCTGGACGAGACAGGAATCGTGGCCTACTGCTGAGAATGGGCCCCTTGCCACCCCTACCCTTGCTTCCGGACTGCTGTTCGTGCTGAAGACGACCATGCCACTGCTCACTTAATGTTTTTCTCTTCTTTCGACTTTTCTCCCTTTTCCCTTCCCCGCAGGCACTGCGCCATGCTCTCGACCGGATTGCAGAAGTTAGGCGCCTTTTCTCATCTTCTAACCACCACCACCATTGGCATCCCAGAAGCCAAGGCAGCACGGCGGGCTCGCAACCCGGCAGCAGCTGGCTCGGTGCCAAAATCCCTCGGACACAGCCCGGGATATATAACAACGTTGTCGCGTCTGGTAGGAGATGTGTAGGAAGGATACGTGGGTTACCTGATCATCTCAGAGCAAGCTCCTCTAACATCATTCACTTTGTGGATATAGAGGTGATTTTCGTTTGTTTGTATGAAGGGACAATACTGAAGTGAACCCCCTCGCCAGACGCATTGAATTGAGGACAAAAGTGCTGCAGGTGTGCTAGGTAAACAACTTAGATAAGATTTGTACAGATAAGCAAGTAAGAAAGGTGCAAGGTGTTTCTTTTTATTTATACATATATAACTGAACGTACTCGGCTGCTGACCTGCAGGTCGCGGGATTGAATCCTGACTGCGGCGGCTGCATTTCCGATGGGTGCGGAAATGCTGTAGGCCCGTGTGCTCAAATTTGGGCGCACGTTGAAGAACCCCAGGCGGTACAAACTTCCGGAGCTCTCCACTACGGCGTCTCTCATAATCATATGGTGGTTTTGGTACGTAAAACCCCACATATCAATCAATCAATTTCATAACTGAACAATGACAGAGTCTTGTTCTGTTATTTTTCACACCACGTGATGCAATCGACAACGTTCAAACACCGGCATGCTTATTCTCGAGCAGCCCTCCACTGGGCAGAACCATGTGACTGAATGCCGAACCAATCGAGTGGCCATGGTCGCAAAATCGTGTTGTCGACAGGGTCATCTCTTATCACCCTCTCACATGAGCATATCTTGTCATGATAAGCAGAACCATGGGGAAAGCGCGGGGTAAACATCCTCGACACTTGTTACGCTGCCTGATTCTACGCAGGTAATATGCAGCGAGGTGTATTTTCGTGGAGCATCAAAGAAAATAAAGTCTTTCACACTTATCGCTGCTCTGTTAGCGACGATTGAGATTTGGCAGGGTGCGCATACTTCATAGTTCATATCTGAAGCTCAAGCACACGGCGAAGGTATACAGTAGCGCGTGATAAGAAGGTTCCCGCAGCGAGCGTCGACCAAAAAGTATACAACCGCGCCACTTCCCAGAATACTCGTTTGAGGAGAGGGTGGTGCACACAAGAATTCACACACTCATTTTGCTGTTCCTTAAGCTACGATCACTCCCGTCTCAGGAAGCTGATTAGACGAAGCAGTGCCAGGCACCAGCTTTTGCGCGCGCCTTTCTCAGCAATTCTGTAGTCACCAGCGGAGACGAGAGCCTGCGAAGAATACGCTTGATCGCAACGACTGGAAGGCTCAGAATAGTGAGAAAGGCTGCAGAGTTCATTGGTCCCAATGGTGATTGTTGTAGCACGGAAGAGCCAACGAGTAAGGGAAGAATGCGCAGTCTCGGCCACGGCCTGGCTAGAGGAGCGACGCGCGCGCGCTCCTCTAGCCAGGCCGTGTCTCGACCATGGCCTCCGAGATTGCGGGCGCACGGTGGTAACTACTCCACGCTCCCGCAATCTCGGAGGCCATGTCTGCATTTTCGCATATGCGATACGTGCCGCTAGGGCTTTCGGACGTTAGGCAGTGGTGCGCGCGCGCTCTTCTAGCCATGCCGTGTTTCGACCATGGTCTCCGAGATTGCGGGCGCACGGTGGGAACTACTCCACAGGCCCGCAATCTTGGAGGCCATGTCTAGACTTTCGCAGATGCGATACGTGCCGCTAGGGCTTTGGGACGTTAGGCAGGGGTGCTATTCTGGACATTGTCGAATTCCGCCACGTTGTCAAGTTCCGCTATTAGTTGATGCTAATTGACCAATTGAGCTGCTACGACCTCTCTCATTGGCTGAAAATGCCGCCATTGCGAAATTTCACAATATGGCGGAATTAGACAGTGTCCAGAGTAGCACCCCGCGTAGACGCTCATGGGATAACCTTGATATCGCGCGCGAATGTACTTTTCTGGCTTCTAGAAAAGAAGAGGCTGCGGCGTAGCTCTTCTAGGCACGGCTATGTTAGCGAAAGCGAGTTATAAAATTGTAACCGTAGGCGTACTCACGAGTGGGACAGGGGGCGTTAGCAGCCGCACCCCCTAGTCCCCTAAGAGGGGTAGGGGTGCAAAATCTGTTCCGTACATGGACTATGGTAAGGTGCTTCTAGTCACTTAAGACGTGGGGAGGGGGGGGGGGTGCCAAATCTGCCCCATACATTTATTTATTAGGGAGAGGGCGTGCTGAGACGAACTTTAGCCCCCTCTGAATGGGAACCCTCGGTGCACTGTCATTATAACCGAGTCTCGTTAGGCTTGTTAACCCCCGTAGCTGAAGCACGGTTTGCCAGCCTAACGATAACGTGAATGACGCTTTGCGCAAAAAAACACGAACAAGAAGGGTAGAAGGCACAGACAGGCGCAGGCAATCAACTGGAAGTTTGTTGCCGAAAAAAACACACACAAAGAAAAGCAAAGGACACGTGGTTAAACTTACAAGTGGGTGGTTACATAATCTGTCTCGAGTTCATGCACCCCGCCGTGGTGGTCTAGTGGCTAAGGTACTCGGCTGCTGACCCGCAGGGCGCGGGTTCGAATCCCGGCTGCGGCGGCTGCATTTCCGATGGAGGCGGAAATGTTGAGGCCCGTGTGCTCAGATTTGGGTGCACGTTAAAGAACCCCAGGTGGTCTAAATTTCCGGAGCCCTCCACTACGGCGTCTCTCATAATCATATAGTGGTTTTGGGACGTTAAACCCCACATATCAATCAATCAATCGAGTTCATGCAGGTTCACAATGCAATACCAACTTGTTTAACGCTCGGTTCTTCTCACGATATGGTTAGTCAATCGAACGTTGACAGAGAATGCCACAAAACCAAGTGCCGTTTTTTTTTTTGTCATCCCAGAGTGTGTGCATGTGTGTGTGTGCGCGATAGAGAGAGAGCAGGGCGTTTGCTAAAAAATAGGAAATAGGAAGTGACTCTCTTAAGTGTGTTCGCTCAAGTGATTATCGGTGAGCAAAACCCACGCTCGGCCTTTCTCATCCAGTCGCTCCATTCTAACCTTCCTTTGCGCTTTCGTTCTATTTCGCGCACTGTTGAGTCTGCGTTCTTGGCTCCCGTCTTCGTCTAAAGTCCCTTAATCTCGTCGAGATAAGAGCGCCCTCCACGATAACACGTGCAGACGGCAGAAACACGAAGCCAAGCAAGGAACTTTGTCGCAGTGTCGTCGGCGTCGCAGCATCTGTTGCGATTAGAATAACGAACAAGTCGAATACAAAAAGAACGCGATATCTGCCACCCCCCTCGCCGCTAGCGCCGCTCCGACTGCAGAGCGGTGGGCAGCTGCTGTCACTTCTCGTAAAACAAAATCCGTTTTTCCAGTCGCTGCGCGTGCGTGTGCCCAAACCGCAGCTTTCGCTTGGGACGTGCTAATTACGCGGAACGATGTCAGCCGCGGACCTTCAAGAGGCGGTGTATCGCGCGGTCGACGAGAACGCTACGGATCTGCACGGCCTCAGCAGATACTTGTGGGAGAATCCGGAGCTTGCGCTGCAGGAGGTGAAGTGTCACAAGTGGCTGACGGACTTCCTCGAAGCTCGCGACTTCAAGGTGACGCGACACTTCCTGCTGGACACTGCGTTCAAGGCTGAATTCGTCGCTCCTGGAGGTTCTGATGGTGCGTGAATTAGTTTTGTTTTGGATTACGTAATTCTTAATGTGTGTGTGTGTTTGTGTGTGTGTGTGTGTGTGTGTGTGTGTTGATTGATTGATATGTGGGGCTTAACGTCCCAAAACCACTATATTGTCACGTATTGCAAGAGGGTGACACAAACAATAGCTTTATTAAAGGGCGAACTTGTGCCCAGAAAAATAGGTAAATAACTGAGTCCGCTAAAGCGTTCCACACTAGCGTCTCTCTCGAACACCTTTTTTCACAACCCGTCGATCAGGCCACCGTCGCGAGCCCAAGCACGAGGAGCAATGACTCGCGTTGCTACAGCGCGCGCAGGTGCGCTACGTTGTAGACGCTTGCATAGCGTCTCGCTGGTTCTCCTGGTAGTTGTAGACGCTTGCATAGCGTCGCGCTGGTTCTCCTGGTAGAAGGCAGTCTCTGCGGCATTACTCCCCCTCCGAAATACGCATCGTCCCGATGCGCGGTTGGGGGAAGTACGCAAGGGGGAATGCTTCAGCATCTCTCGAAGTAGGGCTTCATGCGGGCTACATGTACGACCTCTGCATGGTTTTGACGTCTTGAGCGCTCTTGTCCTTCAGGAATAACTTCATAAGTTATGTCACTGAGTTGGCGGATGACCTTATATGGACCAAAGTAGCGTCGAAGAAGTTTCTCTGACAGCCCACGGTGGCGTATTGGTGTCCACACCCACACTTGATCGCCTGGCTGATATTTGACTTCTCTGCGGCGCAGGTTGTAGTAGCTCGCGTCCCTACATTGTTGTTGACGTATTCGATGTCGCGCTAGTTGGCGCGCTTCTTCAGCTCTTTGTAGGAATTCTTCAACGTCAGATGGCTCATAATTGTCGTTATCGACAGGGAGCATAGCGTCGAGTGTTGTAGTCACCATACGGCCATAGACCAGCTCAAATGGAGGAATGCGGGTGGTCTCCTGTACTGCCGTATTGTAGGCGAACGTTGCATAAGGTAGGATTTCGTCCCACGTCTTATGCTCTATGTCCACGTACATCGACAACATATCCGCTATGGTGCGGTTTAGGCGTTCCGTCAACCCGTTCGTTTGGGGATGATACGCAGTACTTTTTCTATGAGTGGTATTAGTCATATTCATCAGGCACTGCATCAACTCCGATGTGAATGCTGTTCCGCGATCGGTGATAACTACCATCGGGGCGCCATGTCGCAGAACTATGTTGTGAACGAAGAACTTGGCAACTTCCGCAGCCGTTCCTCGTTCCAGGCAGCCAGTTTCTGCGTACCGCGTTAAATAGTCGGTTGCGACAATAATCCACCTCTTTCCTGAGGATGACATTGGAAACGGCCCGAGAAGATCCATTCCAATTTGCTGAAAAGGAGTCTCAGGTGGGTCTATGGGCTGGAGCAGGCCGGCAGTTTTCAGAGGTGGTGTTTTGCGCCTTTGACATTCGCGGCATGTCTTCACATAATGCTGTACCGATGCTAACAGCTTGGGCCAGTAATATTTCAGATGAATTCTGGCGAATGTCCGGCTGACACCTAAGTGACCCGAGCACGGTTCATCATGGCAAGCTTGTAATATTTCACGTCTCATGACTTGCGGCACAACGAGTAAGAACTTTTCTTTGTTGCTTCTGAAGTTCCTTTTGTAGAGTACATTATCACGGAGGCAGAACGACGATAATGTTCTCCTAAATACACGTGGAACTTGGGAGTCGTGCCCTTCGAGGAATTTTATCAATGGGAGCAGTTCTGTGTCGGATCGTTGCTGCTCGGCGATATCTGAAGCCTTCACAACACAAAGGAACGGAAAGTCGTCCTCTTCCGAAGAGGTAGAGTCCAGTGGCGAGCGTGATAAGCAATCAGCATCGCTGTGTTTTCTTCCCGACCTATATACAACTGTAATATCGTATTCTTGGAGCCTGAGGCTCCATCTCGCAAGTCGTCCCGACGGGTCTTTTAAGCTCGCCAGCCAGCAAAGTGAATGGTGGTCGCTGACGGCGCGGAACGGCCTGCCGTAGAGATATGGCCTGAACTTGCTAATCGCCCATATAACTGCCAAGCACTCTTTTTCCGTTGCAGAATAGTTCTTTTCAGCTTTTGACAGGGTGCGACTGGCATAGGCTATGACTTTCTCTTCTCCATTTTGCCATTGAGCTAATACCGCGCCGAGACCAAGATTACTTGCGTCTGTATGGACTTCCGTGTCCGCAGTTTCATCAAAATGTGCGAGGATCGGTGGGGCTTGTAAACGGTTCTTTAGTTCCTCGAAAGCTCTCTCTTGTTCCTTATGCCAAACGAATGATTCTTCCTCTTTTGTGAGTCTGGTCAGAGGTTCAGCAATTTTCGAGAAATTTTCTATAAATCGTCTGTAGTAAGCGCACAAGCCCAGAAATCGACGCACCTCCTTCTTGTCTCTCGGCTTGGGGAATCGCGCAACGGCCGCAGTTTTGTCCGGATCCGGGCCAACACCTTCAGCGCTGATCACATGACCGAGAAAACGAAGCTTTTCATATCCAAACTGACACTTTTCCGGTTTAATAGTCAAGCCGGCCGACTGGATGGCGTGAAGCACTGAACGTAGTCGTTCTATATGCTGTTCAAAGGTTGCAGAAAATACCACAACATCGTCCAAGTATACTAAACATGACTGCCATTTGAGACCCGATAGAACACTGTCCATCATGCGCTGGAATGTCGCCGGCGCACAACAAAGGCCGAATGGGAGTGCTTTAAATTCGTACAAGCCGTCCGGAGTTACGAAAGCCGTCTTTTCGCGGTCTCTTTCATCCACTTCAATTTGCCAATACCCGCTTTTTAAATCTAATGACGAGAAATATCTGGCATGCCGTAGGCGATCTAATGTATCATCGATACGTGGCAAGGGGTATACGTCGCGCTTGGTCACGCTGTTCAGTTTCCGGTAGTCAACGCAGAATCTCAACGTGTTGTCCTTTTTCCTCACAAGCACTACTGGCGATGCCCACGGACTGTTGGATGGTTGGATGACATCATCCTCCAGCATCTCTTGCACTTGACCCTTTATGACCTCTCGTTCTTTGGGTGAAACTCTGTACGGGTTTTGATGAACAGGTCTTGTTTGCTCGTCAGTTATTATTCGGTGTTTAACGATCTGCGTGCGACGTACTTTTGACGAGGTGGAGAAACACTCTGAGAAGTCTCTTATGAGGTCCTGTATGATTTGCCTTTCGCCTGATGATAGACTTCTATTTATTGAAACCGCAGCTCCGACATCATCCGTACTTCCCGAAGCAGGTGGTGCTGACGTGAGGCCACACAAATCTGTCGCTGCAGTAAAGCTGTGCAGAAAGGCAATGGCAGTGTCTTTTGCAACATGCTGTATTGCATTTCCGAAGTTTGTGAGCAACACACTGGCGCACCCATCACGTAATTGAATGATGCCCCGGGCTACACAAATACCTTTCTTTAGTAGCAGCTCGACGTTGCTATCCGCTATGCCTTCGGAATCGGCAAATGTGTCATTTCTGACGCCAACCAGCACGCTGCATCGTGGTGGCACGGTTATGTCTTCGTCGATAACCCGCAATGCAGTGCTCTCTACCTCCTTCTCGTCTATGGCCAGCTTCGTCGAGAAGGAAACGCTAGAATTTTGTAGGTTGATTATGGCACCGTTCGCTAGCAAGAAATCCATCCCGAGAATTACGTCCCTTGAGCATTCCGGAAGCACAATAAACTCAGCCACGTAAGTAGCACCCTGAATTCCTATTCTCGCGGTACATCTTCCCACTGGTGTTATCCTGTGGTCCCCAGCCGTTCTTATTTGTGGACCACTCCACGGCGTCAAAACTTTCTTGAGATCCCTCGCGAACGCGTAGCTGACGACTGAATAATCCGCACCGGTATCGACTAAAACGCTCAATTCCCGCTCGTCCACCGTAACGCGCAAGTCCGAAGAAATTGATTCCTTACTTATCTTAGCCGTTCTTTTCTGCCTGTCGCTGCTACCCTCGGGTCTTGACGGAGGATCTTCGCCTTGTCGAACAACAGCGGCCTTGCCTCCACAGGTCGCTGGACTTAGTTTTCCTGCCGCGGGCTCGTTGAACGTCTTGGTGGACCTGAGAATGGGGAACTTGGACGCCGGGGGCTCGGTGATCGGTAACGTTTCGGCGCCGGTGACCTTGGCTGGTGCTGAAAACTAGCAGATGGGAGTTGCTGCCTTGACAGGTAATCTTCTATCTCCATGGGTCTTTCACCATTACGCGGGCATGGTGCGTTCACAGAAAACCCCCGCAGGCCGGCCCTCCGGTATGGGCACGTTCTGTAAAGATGTCCAGCCTCTCCGCAATGAAAGCAAAGCGGCGTCCAGTCGGGTGTGCGCCACACGTCGCTTTTTCGTGGTCTCAGCTCTCCGAGAAAGGGCGAGCCATGCGAAGCCGACGGGCGTGTACTGGGGGCTACGAAAGAAGCATTGTGCACGGCAGGCTGGCGTAGAGCGTCCGCGTACGTTGGCATGCGACGTGTCTGCAGTGGTTGTTCCAGTCGAACAGGTTGCGGCTCAGGTTCCGGCTGAAGGATGGCGTGCCGGACTTCGTCACGAATGACGGCGGCGAGGGTCGAGACTGTTGGCATCACTTGTGGCTGCATCAACTTCTGAATCTCTTCCCTTACAATGGATCGCACCAGTTCTCTTAGCGTTTCACTGTTGTTACTTTGGCCTGCCGATAGGACGTCCACTGGTGCGCTACTGGCGTCTCGGTTGTAATGACGGGCACGCTGCTGTAGCGCCTTCTCTATGGTTGTTGCTTCGGTGCGGAACTCGGCAACCGTGCGTGGTGGATTGCGAACTAACCCAGCAAACAAGTCCTGCTTGACTCCACGCATTAGGTGGCGCAGTTTCTTCTCTTCCGTCATGTTCGGATCAGCGCGTTTGAAGAGCCGGCACATGTCTTCGACATACATGCTGACACTCTCATTCGTGCGTTGACTCCTGGACTGGAGAGCGTTCTCTGCCTTCTCTCGGCGGTC